AATTAGGAGCCAAAGTTGCAAATTAGGAAGAGTATATTCAGTTTCATTAATTGTATGTGTAGATGCACCCAGTGTGAATCTCCTGATAATGGGGTGTTTCTAATACAGAGATTTAGGCCTGCAGAGATCCAGGCCTGAAACTATTCTGTAGAGATCCAGGCCTGAAACTAATGAACCTTTGGAGGGGAATATAAAATCAGTGCTGGTATATTTTGCAGATGACAAAAAAATGGTGGAATCATAGAATCAATGAGTCAGAAAGGACCTAGACAGATCATCGAGTCCGACCCCCTGCCCCGGGCAGGAAGGAGCACTGGGGGTGGCAGGGGTCATAAGACCCCAGCCAGCTGCCTATCCAGTCTCCTCTTGAAGATCTCCAGGGAAGGTGAGAGCACCACCTCTCTGGGAAGCCTATTCCAGGCTCTGGCCACCCTTACTGTGAAGTAGTTCTTCCTAATACCCAACCTAAACCTATCCTCCCTCAGCTTGTGGCCATTGTTCCTGGTGACCCCAAGGGGGGCCCTGGTGAACAGACTTTCCCTGAGTCCCTGCTGCTGGCCCCTGAGAAGGTTGTAAGGTTGAAGTTTGCATTTAGTGCGTCGGGGTTTTAATGCAGACACACCCAGCATTCTGCACGGAGGGACAGGGACTTCAGGCTGCCCTGCAGAAGGGGGGATGGTATCCTTGCAAGTAGGGATCGTGGAAAAAAATGTCAGCTACTAAAGCTGAAGCCAGACACATTCAAAAGAGAAATTAGGCACAGAGTTTTAGCACTGAGGGCAATTAGTCACTGATGCAAAGTACCAAAGGAGGTGGTAGATTCTCCATCACTCGATTGCTTCAGATAGGCTTTAGGCAAAAGCAAGTTTCTGGCTTCCATGCAGGGATACCTGGGTGAAATGTAAGCACCCGTGACATCCAAAAAGCCAGCACTAGAGATGTGATCACTAGACAGTATGATCTAAGAGTTTCTTCTGGCCTTAAACTACGACTCTGTGAATTTCTGAAGAATGTTCTCCTTCTGGGGAGCTTTCTGGAGGTTTCTGACAGTGTTCATGGTCACAGACTGGGCTGCGTGGTCACATGTGGGAACCACAGTGAGCCAGGCATTGCCATGGCACAGCACTTCTGGGTGTTTCACTGGGGTGGGAACCCCGACTGGCATGTAGGTCCATCAGTGGCTCTTGGAATCCTTCAGCAGATACTGTTCCTCCTCCCTCGGGATGCACCGAGAGGCACTGTGATCTAGGTCCCTAGCTCTGTTCCTGGTTCTTCCACTGACTCACTGGGTGACCTTGGGCAAGCCATTTCACCTTCCTGTTGTACTCTTCACCTCTGTACTAACATCTGCTCCCCAGAGGTGCAGTGGACATGAATCAGTTTAGTGTCTGGGTTTGTTCTAAGCATTGCAGCAGTTCAAAAACTGCTTGCTAGTATTAGTGCTGTTTTGACAGCCCTGTGAAATACGCTTGTCATGTGGGCAAAATGCCTGAGCTCTCTCCCTGCTCTTTCTGGGAAGCTGTATGACAGCAGAAGTCATCCTGCTGGCCCCGTCTTGTTCCAGGGTAGCCCTGTGCTTCTGGGGCTGGCAGCACCGTGGGCTACTCTGTGTGCTTAGGAGCAAGGTTTGTTTGCTGATATCTGGTATTGGACCTAATATATAATTGGGAGAAATGTTAGACAAACTTCCGGCCCCCAAGGGATGCCTTTCTCAGATCACTTAGAGAAGCGTGTCAGTATACTGCTAACGGTTAGGATCATAGGAAAGTAGGGTGGGAAGGGACCTCCCAAGGTCACCTAGTCCAGCCCCCTGCTCAAGGCAGGATCAGCCCTGACTAAACCATCCCAGCTGAGTGTCCGTCCAACCAGCTCTTCAAAACTTCCCAAGATGGAAATTCCTTCATTTCCTAATCTGCAACCTCAGTTTCCCTTGCTGAAGCTTGAGGCCATTGGTCCTAGTCCCATCTCCTACCAGGACAGCCGGAGTGGGAGAACGGTCTAGCTGAATGCCAGGGGTGCTGGACCGTTCTGTGTGACACCGAGCCTGCTCCATCTCTGAAGTGCCACTGTGTATTCTGCCTTTCTTTTGAACTGGTTTTCTGGTAGTAATCTCCCCCTTCTTTTCCGTAACATGTTTCTCCTCATGGTTCTGGGGTGTTTCAGATGATGAGGAGGTAGGAATCTTTCTTTTCTGTTTCTCTTTAACCAATTCTTCACCTCCATTTTCTTGTGCAGGGACCGGAACTTCCCTGCTGTGATAGAAGCCGGACTCGAGGGGATCGCCTTCAGACCTCAGGTTGGGGAGGACCGGGTTAGAGAGCTTCTGGAGGGGCTGGACGCGTTCAAGTCAGCGGGTCCGGATGATCTCCACCCCAGGGTGTTGAGGGAGCTAGCTGGGGTTATTGCAGGGCCCCTGGCACGGCTCTATGAGCGATCGTGGTGCTTGGGCCAGGTGCCAGATGATTGGAAGGTAGCAAATGTGGT